CGTTGACCAGAGGGGTTGCACATTTTCTCCCTAAGCTCAGTTATGGACCATCTCTTTTTCCAGTGATGTTACCATTCAGCTCTCCAGTAAATGCAAAGCCTCTCAAGGGGATGCACCCAAACTCCTAACACCAGTTATCAGTGCACAAAACAGTGGCAGGGGCAAGAGAGCGGTCTAGTGGGACAAAAGGGGGAAAAAACCCTGAATACTTTCAAGCCCTGCTCAGGCACTGAGACCTGGTTCTGCTGCCAACAGTGACAGCCACTGTGCAGCACCACCATCATGGCCTGGCAGCAGCCCCAGGGTGAAGGAAGAATGAACAAACTAAAAACCCCTAAAGAAGTCCTATCTTAACTCTGAAAACACACCTTTCCCTTTCATTGAGCAGACAAGGAGGGAGGAATTCTGTTTTCATTGCTGAAAGGTGAGAGCAGCACTTACTTTTAGCAGGACTTTGAGCTCAGGGTTGAAGCCTCATGGGGCTCTGACCAGGGATAACTGGATTACCTGTTACATCATGCAACACATCCCTGCTAGGCGCTGCCAGGCAGTTCACAACAGGCACTGGATAAAGCAGGCCTCTATCAGAGCCTTCAGAGCAACTGCTGAACATCACAGGGAGAATTGCAGTGCAAGGTTACCAAAAAGTCATGTAGGACCAAAAAGCTACAGGCGTGTAAACATTTCCGTTATCACTTATGCACCACACCGTGCAATTTATGTGACAGAGAGAAAGCTGACAGAGACAGGAGCATGGGATAGGGAAACCTTACAAATGTTTTTTGTATTCAAGCAATCTGGATTTAAAGATGTTTGCAATCTGCATACACTTACTGTGCCACAATTATTCATATCCCTCCTCTATGGCGAGCAGCCATCAATATTTTTTCCCCTGTTGTTGCAAGATGTAGAGCTCCTCGGCTGGACGGCTGCATGCTGGGGCAGTGCTGTGTCTTACTAACTGCAAAGTCCTTTCCCTCTTGGCCCCAGCACTGCTCCACAGGTGATACAGTAAAAGAAAGCATAGGAAATAGCAACATCATCTTCTAACTGGAGGGAATTAATTTCGAAAACATTGTGAAGTACCAAAGCAAACCGAGGTTTCGTTTTCCACCGTTTATAAATGAGCAGCCCTACTACCTACTCATGTCAGGGGAGGTTTAGATTAGATTTTAGGAAAAATTTATTTACTAAAAGAGTGGTCAAACATTGGAACAAGTGGCCCAGGGAAGTGATGGAGTCATCATGCTTGGAATTGTTCAAAAAATGTGTAGATGTAGCACTCCAGGATATGGTTTAGTGGGCATGGTGGTATTGGGTTGACGTTTCAACTTGATGATCTTAGAGATCCTTTCTAACCTTAAAGATTCTATGGTTCTATGACTCTACCTGAGCACCCTCAGCTTCTGCAGATATTCTCAGACAAATGGCCTGCAGGGTACCCCAACACCGTACAACTGGTCGCTAATAACTATACAGTGTTTGCTCTTCAAATCTCAAGGGAATTTGTGTACAGCATCCTGCAGTAAACAAAGAGAAGTATAAAGTGTGGCTGGCTCATCTGCTGAGCATGGCAAAGGAACCACAGAGTGTTCTTGCCATACTGGATGCATCCAGAGCTAAACAGCAATAAGGCTTCATAAATGAGCCACTAATAAGAAATTACTTGACACATGTTGTTCTATCTGTCTCTACATGGCATGAGACTGAGGGGTCTGAGCTGATGGGAATCTTGGTTTCTCTCTTTTTGTTCTTGTTATTGATGTCAATGAGACCTGGAACATGAAGAAATAAAGTGACGGGATCTTCCCCATCCCACCTGTTCCTACAGGCCTCCCACTTTAGGGCATGCAGCCGTGACCTTTGTTTGTGGTCGTGACTACAGACCCCTTGGGACCCTCGGTGTGAGATCCATGAACACTGAACCACTAGAACTCAGTGCCTTCTCAAACCTTCAGCAACAGCCTGAGGACTTTACCTGAATTTGTCATTATTTTGTGCTCTGAAACACTAGGGGTTGGTTTCTGCTGGGCAGGGCTCCCTTCAAACCCAAATATCGTCACACCAACAGACAGGCATCTTCACCAGAGGTCCAGAAAAGCAACTTTCCCATGCAGGTTGCACCACTTGGCCCAAAGCCAGCCAGAGTGGGACACTAAAGGTACGTGCCTACAGTGGCAAAGCACAGCGTCTCTTTTCAGCAAAGCGCTGAGATCCAAGCTGAGCTGTGCTGTGGTTCCCTAAGATGAATGTCATACAGCTGGTTGTGCTGGGCCTCTCTATTTATATTAACCGAGAATGATTGAAATTGCCAAGTCTGCTTCTCACCCCTTTTGTATGACTTTGAACTGTACAAATGGCATCACTTTCTTCTTTTCAAAGCAGCCTGTTGAAATGTGCCCCACCAAAGTGAAGGGAGGTGTTACCTAACGGCGCGCTCTGCACGCAGCAACAGTTCTGAGAATGGTGTTAAATCAAATTTGATGAAGAGGAGACAATGTTCATTCATTACCTATATGTTTACCTAGGGTTTTATTCTGCCGTTTCAAAAGAGAGAGTATTAATATTGCAAATACTACTCTTTCGAAGGAACCTACCACTATATTCTATGTGTTTTATACAGACCGACACAGAAGAGTTAGCTCATCCACACAGTTAAAAAAATACTGACGGAAAGTATACATATTTCTTTTTTGAAGTGATGTTTCCTTCAATTTGTATGGTTTTTTACTGCTTCACAAGCTGTTTAGTCATCGTAGCTCTAAAAGTATACCGAAGCAAGCACATTCCTAATCAGCAAAACTTATCTCTCAAAGCTCATTCCTATCTCCAGGAGAAAATAGATGGCGTACGCATTTCAGCTTAGACTATTTTCAAGTATCTCTGGCAGTGAGTCTCTCTTCTGCTGTACATAAATTGTTGTATGGTCAGCAAAAGGCAGCATTTCAAGGCAGCCGTTGCATTTGGCAAGAACATTTAACAGTACAGGATGCATCAACTATAAGAAAAAAAACCTTGCCTGAGTGCTGCTCAATTCCTCACTGTCAACCTACATAGATGGCTGACCCTTGGCAGTATGCAGCCTCGGAAAAGTTTTGCCTTTGCTTCACCTACAGATGTGATGTGAGAACCAGCTCACCTAGCTCTGGACACCTACCACCTAGGTGCCTGCACCCAAGCAGTTCACCTTAAGCTCCTTTACAGAAAAGAAACAAACATCTCTGGGCATCTGACCTATGTTAGACATTTGTTTTGGGGTAAGATAAAAGGCTCCTATTTCTCTCCACTGACTATAAAAGCTAACTTTCACAGCCTCTAGTCACAACAGCTCAGATGCATCCTAGCCTTGATGTCTCCTGCAGAAGATCTCGTGTTTCTGACCATGCTGCTCGCTCAGGAGGTGGCTGCTGCAGGTCCCAGGTCTCAGCAGAGTGGGGAACCGGCAGCACCCACCTGCCCTGAGAAGCCAAAATCATCACCCGGCTCCTGGTTAGCAGACCCAAGTATTAGCACCTTGTGGCCAAAGCACCTCCCAAGAAGAACCTTGCCAGGTCTTATGTCACTGCACAGGGTGCCCTAAATTTTAACCTCTGCATGCTGTAGATTGTTTTTTTCCTCACTGTAAGAAATAACCAGGTTTTGCGACAAAGTATTGGTGGTTTCCCTCAGCAAAGAGTTGACTGGGGACAGACTGTCATCATGGGCATGCTGACTAGGTCTACATTCTTTCAAGGGAGGGAACAACAATCATAGCCAGCATAGGACAAACCTGAAGCCCCCAATGCATTCAGAGGGCCACTCATAGGAGAGCTGGGCATCTCTCTGCCTGCCACTCTCTTCCAGCTCCCTGGTTCCTCCAAGGTCCTAGCACACACTGGCATCCATTTTCCTCCTGTGTGTCTTAATAAATTTAAACATCTGATGCCAGCACTCCCACACTCTGAATCGCACCAGCAAGCACCGAGCTATTCCCACCCAGGTTTCCCTCATCTGTTTAACTTTTAAGTGCTGTTGGGGTAGGACCAGCCTCCTCCTTTAGTCCCTCATATGCAGATATCTGAGTGCTTATCTTAGTAATCAAGAACAGTCTCCTCAGCTCTATCAAAATTACTTGTGCTGATCAAATTAATCAAGTGTCATATGCTTTCAGAATTGGTGTCTAAACCCCATAAAACCTTGGCTGATCTGGAGATCTTAAATAGTCTCTTTCCATCTCCCTGTCTACATGGATCTATCATCCCAACCATTGCTGTTCTCCCAAGTCCTCCCAGCGAGCCTGCACACTGCAGTAACAGTAAGTTGCTGCCACCACATCACCTTTTGTTCCTGGCACATCATCACCAGAAAGAGACAGGCAAAAGGACTCTCTCTTCTTCCCATGTACTGAAGGAAGGAAACCACAAGTCACCCTTATACACACGTAAGTCACATCAACATCAGTAGTAAAAGTAAGAATTGAAACAGAAGAGGAGATGCTTTAAGTTACAACTTTCCACTCTGGAAGCATGTATGAAAACTGTCAGTTCTGTGAACATTTATTATATGTGTCTGACTCATTAATCCCCTACGAACATGATTCCTGAGTTGATTTTTAGTATTTACTGATCTCTCCTTTTCTTCTAACCCCTCCCAAACACAGTAGGATTTGTCTTCCATGAAGGAAAGAAACATCAATACTCAAGGCAAAAATTTGCCACCTGAGTGTTAAAAGCCAAGATGCTTTTTGCCATGAAATGATATGTTTTAGGGGAAACTTTCCTCAGAGCTTTATATTTTTACTTCAAATTGTAAAAACACTTCTCCACTTTCTTTGTAGCTTTCCATCAACAGAGTTGTTTTACAGAGTTCTGCACTGAACTCCGTGCCATAAACCATAACACTGTATGGGTGGGTGTGTACATACATATGCATGCATTTATATATTTTGTCTAACAGAACCAATGGACAGCTGTTAAGCAGATGCATAAGCACTTCTGCCTGTGCAAATGTAGATTACTCACCTCAAGTGCTGGTTAAAATAGCATGTAAATGGCTGCGAACCCACTTTCTCTTTCCAGTATTTCTGCTTGTACGTGACGTTCTCAGAGTTCTCTTGATCATCTCTTGCACATGGAGGGATGTACGAACACTGCCAACACACGTTGCAAAACAGAGTTACTTCCATGCTCAAGAACGCAGGGCATTACTTTCTCTGCATTTTCCTCATAACACCAGTGTGACTGAAATGGGTAAAGAATAATAAGAAACTCCAAAGAAACAAAAAAGAAGAGTTTGCTGAATTTTACTTCAATTGCTAGTTACTCCCTGCAGGTACTGGAAAAGAATTTGCCAACATTTAGAGAAAAAATAAAGGCTGTATCATGTTTTGTTCTGTTATCAAACCAGCCTGCCATGTAACACTTTGAGTTTTCGCATATGAGTGTAAAAATGATTGTTTCATTTTGACACATTCCTAGCCAGCTGCACAGATCAGGTTTGAATTACTTCCTATTTTCAGTGAGGCACAAAATCACAAGTTTTGTTTAGCACCATTCTAATAAACAACAAAAAAATTCCAGCAAGCTTTCCCAGATGATGGGATGGCTGATATCTGGCTGATATTGCTGGCAAAAGGCAGGTATTCTTCCACTGTTACAACAGAAGGAAACAAGCACAGAAAGTTCAAAGCCCCACTTCAGCGGAAAGATTCAGCATCTGCTTCTGCTCTATAGAAGACAACAAGAGTTGAGCGTGCAGCTGAGCTATCTGGAGATATCACCCCAGACATCTGCTTCAAAGCCCAAAGAGATCAAGGGAAGTTGCTCCCCTAGCTTGGTGCACCTGGCACTAGGCTTTCAAGACTCCCCTCTGGGTCACACACAACGCACGTACCTTGTTTCCAAGTCTTATCTTTGACACACCATCTTTCTCTCCTAGCCACAGGGAGTTAAACAAGAAAATAAAAAAATAATAAAAAAAAAAAATCTGCTGAATCCCATGTTGGCAGTATCAATATCTCAGTACCCAAGCACAATCTCTCCTATTGTTACCAGGCATCTATACAGGAGATCGTTACAGCAGACATTGAAACAAGCTGAGTAACACAGCTTAAATGATCCTGGGGTAACATAAGGGCTTTTCTCCCTGGAAGATGTATGGATAGCAAGGCTCTAGCTACGCACACAGATTTTTAATTCCTTTAAAAGTGGGAGCTGCAAGCAGAAAAAAGCAACTGTGAAGATAGGATGAGGACGTAAGAGGTGCAGGTTGTGGGAAGCCCCTAAAGGGATACCCACATATGATCACAACATGAGTTTCTTCACAGTATCCTGAAGGTAATAACAACAAGGAGAGTGATACCCTCTCTAAACTGAAAATGAAGGTCCCCGTGTCTCACTGTGCCTGGTGAGTGCTTCTGCGCCCTCTCTATCTGGTGAGGTTTCACAGGGGCATACCATGCCTCCAGCTGCCTGCTATACCCAAGCTGTACAGGCCTACAAGTCCATCACCACCATACAATGCATAACTTGACGAAACAACTAGGTATCAATACACAATCTTCTGCCTAAATTTCCCCAGCGATCTTGAAAACTCCTTTTTCTGTGGTACCAGCTCTGGTAGGCAGCTTCCCTCTCTCCTCTGAAATATTTCTTCCTCGTGGTCAAGTCTACTCCTGTCCTCCACTATGAAAGCATGTCCAACCCAACAACTCTTCTGCTGGCCAAATTTTCTCCGAATCCTTCAGACACCTTCCACCTCCTCCAAATATTATGTGAATCCTTCACAAAGTTCACAACCTGGTAAACCATTGTTTATGCCCATCCTGAGTTTCAGGCTTAGAAACAACTGCAGACATCTCTTTTCCCAAGAGATGTCCATCTTAATGGACAAGTAGCAAGTTGTAACAGTCACCAGGGACAGCTCCATCACAGAGACTTCACAATTTTTGACACCAGTCCCCATGCTTTTAGCTCAATAGGAAGCTATAAAAAACAGAGGTTTTCAGGACAGGGATTCTGCTTGGTTTGAAAGATGTAAAGGGGCCCACAGACAGCTTGTCTGATCAACACATTTGTCTTTCCTCGTGCCAAGGCAAGACAGAGTATGGGAGTACTGCCAGTACCTACAGGAGGGACACCTAGAAGTTGGGGACAGCAGTGAATATGCTCTCTGTAACTCAAACTTCACACCACTCTTTGCACAAGTAATCCCAATGACAGTTGACAGAAAACACGCTGGACTCATTTTCATCTCTTCCTCTTTATCTTCATGTGGAAAACACAAAGAAGACATCCAAGGGCTTGCCATAAATCAACGACACCTCATTGCTCGAGCCTGTCAAGGAATTACAGACTTGAAGAGAGGAGCAGTCCCTGCTCAAGGCAAAATCATCATCATATGATTGCCAAGGGTCACCCTGAAACATCTCCTCAACGTGATGAAGGCCTTGAGACACAGTCAACACCCAAGGTCCAACCCCAATGTGGACTTATTACCTGCTGCACAAACAGCGGAGCTTGTATGCGATCCCAGAATGCCAGCACAGTTCCCACCAACCTGACGTTCATTTTGGCCCCTTCTGATCCACGTAGGTGGTGGATCTCTCCTTTCTCAGCCTCCCAAGCACACTTCTTGGGGACTTCGCTTGATCAGCTGTATTGTCCTCCAAAGCACAATCAGCAGGCAGATAAAAGAGAACCATAACCTGACAACTTTTGCTGCCATGAGTTGGTGGATGAACCTAAAGTGACCTCCTGCTTTGGCAACAGGCAGTTTCTGAAAGGTTAATTCTGCAGTCCTCCCACAAGACACGGTGTGAAATCCTACCATCAAAACATAAACAAATGTCAAGTGTTTGAAAGCAAGCTAGGACGCCTTGCGCTCAAACAAGGCAGCTTGCACAGCACCATTCCGTTTCAGTGGAAGTGTCCCGCTCTGTATTTCTTTGATGTTTTTTTCTTAAACAAGTTACAATGAGGTTGGAGAACAGCACTTAAGATTAAACATTCAGAATAAATCTAATGGAGTGGAGGCCTTTTCAGCAGATCTATTGGTACACGATGCCGTAATCGCACCTCCTACACTATGTCATAGCAACGATAAAATTATTATGTAATTCAAATATGGTCTCAATTACACAGCTCAAACCCAGTGCCAGGCTAATAATATTCCCCCTTCAATCAAAGCCCGTGTTCGGATGGATGACTCAGTATTCAATTCAGTAAAAATGTCAGAGAGCAGCTAATATACCTTTACACCAAGGTTTTGTAAGATTTGTATCTGTGTTTGCTGCTGGATGCTCCCACTTCAGTGTCTCTGCAGATGCCTGGGAAGACTCCCAGTCCTTCTGAACACTTCATCAGAGCAGATATTCTTCTGTATCACAGAGAAGGGACAGAGGCATGAACTCTTGACCATGGTCTAGTTTCCAAGTTTCATTTCATGCTTTTCAAAGACTAATTCTTGCCTAATTCAGTCATATTTTTATGAAAAAGAAGCCAGGTTTGGTAGGTTCTGAGAGAAGGTGTCTCAAGCCTGGAAGATACTGTCTACAAATTGAGATCAAGAAAGTCTCAAATGCAAGCAGTTGCAAGGCCCTAAATTAGAAGCAAGTCAGCCCATCAGAAGACAAACCAATGGCACTAAGAAGCAAGTCTCCAGCCTCAGTCTTGTCGAGGACCATCCTCCTGGCTGCTGGGGAACTATGGGGCACAGCACGTACCATTTGCCAGCTGGCTCCAAGATGAACCCACCACTGGCCAAAGCTGAGCTCTTCAAGCAATGGTGGTGACACCTCTGTGATAAGATATTTAAGAAGGGGAAAAAGCTGCTGTGACACAGCAGTCAGAAGAGAGGAGTGAAAACACATGAGCGAAACAACTCTGCAGACACCAAGGTCAGTGAAAAAGGAGGGGCAGGAGGTGCTCCAGGCTCCAGAGCAGAAATTCCCCTGCAGCCAATGGTGAAGGCCGTTGTGAGGCAGGCTGTCTCCCTGCAGCCCATGGAGGTTAACGGTGGAGCAAGAATCCACCCACAGCCCATGGAGGACACCACACCGGTGCAGGTGGATGCTCCCGAAGGAGGCTGTGACCACATGGGAAGCCCATGCTGGAGCAGGCTCCTGGCAGGACCTGTGAACACATGGAAAGAGAAGAGCCCATGCTGGAGCAGGTTTGCTGGCAGGACTTGTGACCGATAGGAGGACCCACACTGGAGCAGTCTGTTCCTGAAGGATTACACCGCATATGGGAGAGACCCAGCCTGGAGCAGTTCGTGAAGAACTGCAGCCCATGGGAAGGACTCATGTTAGAGAAGTTCGTGGAGGACTGTCTCTTGTGGGAGAGACATCATGCTGGAGCAGGGAAAGAATGTGAGGAGGAAGGAGTGGCAGAGACAACGTGTGGTGAACTGACTGCAACCCCCATTCCCCGTCCCCCTGCGCCACTGTGGGGGAGCAGGTAGAGAAATGGGGAGTGACGCTGAGCCCAGGAAGAAGGGAGGGGTGAGGGGGAGGTGTTTTAAAGTTTGATTGTATTTCTCATTACCCTTCTCTGATTCAATTGGCAATAAATTCAAATAATTTCCCCAAGTCAAGTATGGTTTGCTATTGATGGTAATTGGTGAGCGATCTCTCCCTGTCCTTATCTTGACCCGCGAGTCTTTTGTTATATTTTCTCTCCCCTGTCCAGCTGAGGAGGGGAGTGACAGAGTGGCTTGGTGGGTCCCCCGCAGCCAGCCAAGGTCAATCCACCACACCAAGCAACTCAAGTATGAATTTCTTCTAACTTTCAGTGTGAGTGTCTCTGTGCATTACTGGGTTATCTTCATGTTCTGGAAGGGAGAAGGAGCTGCCAGAACCATCCTACTGTGGCAGGAGATGAGCAGAGGGACTCATTCCATTGGTACAAAAAAATGCCTCCCTCCCAACTGACTGTGTGGAGGGAGCTGGAACTGAGCATCATGTCTGCTTTCCACCTGCGTCCATCAGCACAGACAAAGCCACCAGGTGTAACCAAACCCCAAACCCCTCACAGAGGCTCAAGGCAGCGAGGGGTGCCCCAGGCAAGAGGAGATGGTGGTGGGGTTTATCCGTGGCATCTGGGGCTGCTTCTAGAGGAATCACTAGACAGCATCTGCAGAGTTTGCCCTTCACAGGCACCAGCCCAAACACAGATCTCATGCTTCACCAGATGCACCAGACACTCCCAAAACTAATGTAGAATTGGGCATATTTTGGTATTAAACCTCTTGTGTCTTGGGTCATATTTAAGAAAGTCCAAAACCCGAAACCAATTTATTCACAAGCGCACAGAAGAGAGAGCTGTGCATCACCTCGGCAGGCTGAGCAGTTACAGAACGAAGAGTGCCAGGAGCACACACGGATGTGGAGCGCAGAGAAGGAGCATCTGCTGGCTGCTCTGCTCCCCTGCCCAGGGATGGGGACAAGGACGGGGATGGGGACAGGGAGAAGCTGATCTTGTCGTGCAGCTGCTAACATTAGGCTCACAATTCACTCCCCTGAAAGTTTCTTCAACAAAACAGTCGGCAAGTTCTTCCGGCACCACACTTAACTTTAAGCATAGAAAGGGAAAAGTCTAAAAAGTCAGAAAGCAGATCTTTTTAGCAGCTGACATACTCCATTGTCATTTTACCCAACCAAACCTATGGCCTGACCACTGCGCTGGCTGTAGACGCCGCCGCCGCCGCACTCAATGGCCAGAATAGTGACAAATTGACTTTAGAATTAATCACCCTTAAGCTTTATCTCAGAGATTGTTGTTGCTATCAAGGCAGCTGAAGAAAGGCTACAGTCCCTCTGCTGAGATTTCTTCCTCTGAGACAACAATTAAATAAAAAAAAAGAAAAAATAAAAGAAAAATAAAAGAAAAAAAAAAAAGAAATCCACAAATCTCTCGGACTGAACACGACTGTAATCGTGCCTGGTGCTTTATATATACATTTCTGGATTAACTCTGACCCAGCTACATAATCTTTTAAGAGCTAAAATGAATCCTGGGCTCTACAATGGTGTGATTATCTGAGGAAGCAAGAGAGAAAAAAAGAATAATTTCTTTTTCCTGCAGCTAGACCTCGCCAGAACAGACAGATTCATAGCTGCTGATATGTTTATACACCAGCCCACTCTACTACAGAATGCAGAGTATTTTTGGTCCGATACACTGGGGGGGTTTGGAGCAGAGCGAAGCTGCCAGCTGACTCAGTATTGTTGCGTGCTGGAAGGAGCCTGAACTATGCCTTTTCTGCACTGGTGATTTACCAGCGAGAATTGCTGCCCCACGCAGAGAATCAGCGAAACAGAACGTAAAATTTAAAGACTGTTCGAAACAAAATTGGGCAACGTTTTCTTCCTTCTAGTTCGTTGGAACTGATTAGCGTGTTGTATGTCTGATTGCGTGAACACAAGTGAGCGTGCTGCTAGGTGGTGATGGAGATGGGAAGGGTTAAATGGCTCCTTAAGTGTTCATTCATGAAAACATACTGGATCCCAAGAATTAAATCCAGCAGATTCCTACTCCATTGGTATGACTAATCTATTTCAGTATAAAATCTTGAAAGCTTTTAAAGACAACGAGATTTTAGGATGAAAACTAAAAGGAGAATATAATTGCTCAGCTACACAAACATTAAACTTGGGGAAAAAAGGGAAAAACAAAGCAACAGCTACACATACTTCATTCCTTTAAAAGGATATGTTTTCCTAATGAGATCTAAACAACTTTTCTTCTTATTTTGTATCGGTTTTATATAAGCTCCTTTAAGTAAGGAAATAATTAGAGTGCATTTTTTTTTCTATGTTGTTTTCCACTCAGTTAAATTCAATTACTACCAGAGAATGTGGTTACATCCAGAAATACATCCTTTCTGCTTGCTCTCGTCTGGTAAATCAGATTCAGTCCCCAGCAATCAATATTCCAGGGCAAACAGCCCACACCTAGACACGCAAGGTGAACGCAAGAGAAAATGGATTATATTTGTAAGAGCATGCAAGCACAATGCGCTGCCAACACACAGCCCTGTGTCTCCTTATTAATTGTTAAATAAAAATAGGCTTCTGAGTGACATTTACAGGCATCACTTCAGAAGCTCTGAGTGCTTCCCTGCAGAAATTGTAATCCAGCCCCTGGGCAGGTGCAATCCTCCTCTTCCCATCAGACTTCCAGGAAAGCAGAAGAAGAAGAAGATGGGATCAAGAAGTAAAAGCAAAACAAAACAAAACACTCTGGCTACTCAGAGCGACATTGCAGTTGCAGCCCAGTTTGAAAGCATCTGCTGAAACTGAGGATGCTGCAAGAGCTGCTGAGCAAAGGCGCGCTGGTGACACGGCTTACTACCCACTGCCCACCTCCCAGCCCTGGTGGAGATGGCCACAACGGGTCCGTCGGGCTGTGCTCTGGGCCAGTCGCACTGCACCCTCTGCGGCAACATGGCATTTCACCCCATGTCAAAAGGGCATTTCGCCAAATACTCCCAGCCCACCTGAAGATGAAGAGAGGTTTAGGGACAGCTGGTGCTTGGACAGCTGGGTGCTCATGGTGCACCTCTCCGTAACCATGGCTCTCTCCACGGGGAGCCTGGCAGCAGCAGCCCCAGGGAAAGGTGAAGTTTGCAAAGCTCCCTTGCAGGCCAACGTTTCATCCGCTTTGCTCTCAGGCACCATCCAGCACTGCAGCTTCATCGCTCATCGCTTCTGAGTGGTGCCAACAGTTTAATCCAAATCCTGTCAGACTTATCGTTCTGCTTCTTGCTGTGCTGATTTTTACCCCGACCACCCTCCTGAGCCCACAAGCTGTCAAGGGGAAAAAAAGCAACCTCTAAACCCCAAGTTTGCAACTTATCCCTTTGTTCCAAGGGACAAATCCATACCTGTGTAACTGCGACTGTGGAGATGTGAGGCTGCACATCCCAAACTGGACACACAAGTGTGCTCCCCAGCCCCTGCACGCAGACCCTTGCATCGTGCTTAGCGTGACCCTAGGCACTGCTCTACATCCCTGTCTCGGTCCAACAGCTGAAATTCGCTTCTCCAATACACTCCCAATTTCAGGTTCTTTCAGAGGGAGGGGCAGGGGAGGAATTCTGCCACATTTTGGATTTTCTGGAAGCTACTTAAGAAAATCTCCTCCACGTTGACAGCATGCTGGCAAGGTGGTCTTTACCCAGCACGACAGGAAAAAGAACAAAGCAGAATAACTGCCTTTGAAGAAAGAAAAGCACAAATCACACGTTGCCTTCGGGCTATCCTGCTTTTCGAGGAAGATGCAACTTTAAAGATGCTTCTGCTCGCTCCGTTTTCACGTGGTGGAGAAGTTCAAGAATCAAAACAGCACCGAGGAAACTTCTGTTTCGGTGCAGCCCTCTCTCACCAGCAGCGGCTCGGTTAAAGCTTCTCCTTCCGCTTCGGGGAGCTGCTCCGGGAAACCTCCAACAACCTCCCGGGACACACAGCGCGACAGCGTCCGTCCCAGCTCGGGCAGACCGATCTCCCGGCCGGCAGCAGGCGTTTCTCCCGGCTTCTCCCCGGCTTCCCGGGGTTGCCGGCGGGGCCGACCGGGAAGCTTTTTTTCGGCGCCGCCCGCTGCTCCCCGCGAGCGCCCGGGGCGGGGCGGCACCGCTCCCGCGGGAAGGGGGACCCAGGGCTGGGGCTGCTGGCGAAAAGATACACATGAAGTGTGCGTGTGTATGTATATAACGGTATACTATATAGGGAGTATCGTGTTACACTATATATACAGCGTGTGTATACAGGGAGAGAGACTATATGTACACGCT